GTGTACACCTTGTAGGCGGGTAAATATCCTGTTTTAGTGCACACCTTGTAGGCGGATAAATATCCTCTTTTAGTGAACACCTTGTAGGCGGTTAAATACCCTGTTTTAGAGCACACCTTGTAGGCGGGTAAATATCCTGTTTCAATGTACACCTTGTAGGCGGGTAAATATCCTGTTTCAGTGCAAAGCTTGTAGGCGGGTAAATATCCTGTTATAGTGTTCACCTTGTAGGCAGGTAAATATCCTCTTTTAGTCCACACCTTGTAGGCGGGTAAATATCCTGTTTCAGTGCACACCTTGTAGGCGGGAATATATCCTGTTTTAGTGTACACCTTGTAGGCGGGTAAATATCCTGTTTTAGTGTACACCTTGTAGGTGGGTAAATATCCTGTTTTAGTGTACACCTTGTAGGCGGGTAAATATCCTGTTTCAGTGCAAAGCTTGTAGGCGGGTAAATATCCTGTTATAGTGTTCACCTTGTAGGCAGGTAAATATCCTCTTTTAGTGCACACCTTGTGGGCGGGTAAACATCTTGTTTTAGTGCAAACCTTGTAGGCGGGAATATATCCTGTTTTAGTGTACACCTTGTAGGCGGGTAAATATCCTGTTATAGTGTTCACCTTGTAGGCAGGTAAATATCCTCTTTTAGTGCACACCTTGTGGGCGGGTAAACATCTTGTTTTAGTGCAAACCTTGTAGGCGGGAATATATCCTGTTTTAGTGTACACCTTGTAGGCAGGTAAATATCCTCTTTTAGTGCACACCTTGTGGGCGGGTAAACATCTTGTTTTAGTGCAAACCTTGTAGGCGGGAATATATCCTGTTTTAGTGTACACCTTGTAGGCGGGTAAATATCCTGTTTTAGAGCACACCTTGTAGGCGGGTAAATATCCTGTTATAGTGCACACCTTGTAGGCGGGTAAATATCCTGTTATAGTGCACACCTTGTAGGCGGGAATATATCCTGTTTTAGTGTACACCTTGTAGGCGGGTAAATATCCTGTTATAGTGCACACCTTGTAGGCGGGTAAATATCCTGTTATAGTGCATACCTTGTAGGCGGGTAAATATCCTGTTTTAGTGTACACCTTGTAGGTGGGTAAATATCCTGTTTTAGTGTACACCTTGTATGTGGGTAAATATCCTGTTATAGTGCATACCTTGTAGGCGGGTAAATATCCTGTTTCAGTGAACATCTTGTAGGCGGGAAAATATCCCCTTTTAGTACACACCTTGTAGGCGGGTAAATATCCTGTTTTAGTGCACACCTTATAGGCGGGTAAATATCCTGTTTTAGTGTACACCTTGTAGGCGGGTAAATACCCTGTTTTAGTGCACACCTTCTAGGCGGGTGAATATCCTCTTTTAGTGCTCTCCTTGTATGCGGGTAAATATCCTGTTTTAGTGCACACCTTGTAGGCGTGTAAATATCCTGTTTTAATGCACACCTTGTAGGCGGGTAAATGTCCTGCTTTAGTGTACTCCTTGTAGACTGGTAAATATCCTGTTTTAGTGTACACCTTGTAGGCGTGTACACCTTGTAGGCGTGTAAATATCCTGTTGAGTACACACCTTGTAGGCGGGTAAATATCCTGTTTAAGTGCACACCTTGTAGGCTGGTAAAGATTCTGTTTTAGTATACACCTTGTAGGCTGGTAAATATCCTATTTTAGTGTACACCGTCTAGGCGGGTAAATATCCTGTTTCAATGTACACCTTGTAGGCGGGTAAATATCCTGTTTCACTGAACACCTTGTAGGCGGGTAAATATCCTGTTTTAGTGTACACCTTGTGGGCGGGTAAACATCTTGTTATAGTGCGTACCTTGTAGGCGGGTAAATGTCCTCTTTTAGTGCACACCTTGTAGGCGGGTAAATATCCTGTTTTAGAGCACACCTTGTAGGCTGGTAAATATCCTGTTTCAATGTACACCTTGTAGGCCGGTAAATATCCTGTTTCAGTGCATACCTTGTAGGCGGGTAAATATCCTCTTTTAGTGTACACCTTGTAGGCGGGTAAATATCCTCTTTTAGTGCACACCTTGTAGACGGGTATATATCCTGTTTTAGTGTACACCTTGTAGGCGGGAAAATATCCTGTTAAAGTGCATACCTTGTAGGTGGGTAAATATCCTGTTTTAGTGTACACCTTGTAGGCGGTTAAATATCCTGTTATAGTGTTCACCTTGTAGGCGGGTAAATATCCTCTTTTAGTCCACACCTTGTAGGCGGGTAAATATCCTGTTTCAGTGTACACCTTGTGGGCGGGTAAACATCTTGTTTTAGTGCACACCTTGTAGGCGGGTAAATATCCTGTTTTAATGCACACCTTGTAGGGGGGTAAATATCCTGTTTTAGTGTACACCTTGTAGGCGGGTAAATATCCTGTTGAGTGCACACCTTGTAGGCGGGTAAATATCCTATTTTAGATGTTCTTGTTGTTACACACCAGCGTGATAACCTCGGTATCATACTATGACATTCTAAGATGTTTTTGTTGAAGACAGTATTAACTATAACACACCAGCGTGATAACCTCGGTATCATACTATGACATTCTAAGATGTTATTGTTGAAGACAGTATTCACTATAACACACCAGCGTGATAACCTCGGTATCATACTATGACATTCTAAGATGTTATTGTTGAAGACAGTATTAACTAGAAGACACCAGCGTGATAACCTCGGTATCATACTATGACATTCTAAGATGTTATTGTTGAAGACAGTACTGACTATAACATACCAGCGTGATAACCTCGGTATCATACTATGACATTCTAAGATGTTATTGTTGAAGACAGTATTCACTATAACACACCATCGTGATAACCTCGGTATCATACTATGACATTCTAAGATGTTAGTCATAAACGTATGTCAGGAGGTCAATGTCGGACAGTAACAACCATCAGTACAGACAGTTTTAGACAGTGGATTTTTTCTGAGTTTAGCAGCAATCAATCTATCTGCCCTTCCGGCCTCTAGTGTAACCTCCCTTTATCAAAGTTGTTCCATCCGATGATCCATTTGTTCACAGTTTGCCTACCTCGTCATAACGCAGCTGATGTCCACACACTCACACACTTAATAATTCCACATAATAAAGCTGTCTTAAATTGGGGGAAAGTCGCAGAAGTATATACACATGGAAACTTTTCTGGAACGCGTCATCGCCAAATAAAATGTTTCTGCCACATCTTGACAAACGTGACGAGTCTCTGTTAGACAGCGATTATCGGTATCCTAGTTTGTTTTAGGTTTGATTATTGGTTTTCGGTTGTTTTTTTGGGTTTTTTTGGTTCTTTTGTTTGTTTGGAATGTTGTTGTTGTTTTGTTTGATTGGGGATGGTTTTTGTTGTTCATATTTGTGTTCTTTTTCGTATTTTTTTTTTTTTTTTGGGGGTTGGTGTGTGTTTTAATATAATGTAAACAATGAATAAGTAGTTTGTTCAGGTCCCCGATGACTGATGGACACGTAACAGGCGATAGCCAGCTCGGCGCCATGTTTGTTGTCAAACAGTAAAATTAGTACCTACCTGACCTTTGATATTTGCATGTTTAACCTATGTGACACCAACAAATACCGTATTTCATCCTCTGGATTTATGCTGCCGGGGCACAGACAGCCAAGTCCTTTGCTACGCCGCAGTTAGCTGTGCAGAGTTATGTCCCCTGGGCGTGTCATGCTATTGGGCTGGAAGTCGGCTCGCCATGAGTTATGTCTCTTGAGCGTGTCAGGATATTGGGCTGGAAGTCGGCTCGCCATGAGTTATGTCCCTTGAGCGTGTCAGGATATTGGGCTGGAAGTCGGCTCGCCATGAGTTATGTCTCTTGAGCGTGTCAGGATATTGGGCTGGAAGTCGGCTCGCCATGAGTTATGTCCCTTGAGCGTGTCAGGATATTGGGCTGGAAGTCGGCTCGCCATGAGTTATGTCTCTTGAGCGTGTCAGGATATTGGGCTGGAAGTCGGCTCGCCATGAGTTATGTCCCTTGAGCGTGTCAGGATATTGGGCTGGAAGTCGGCTCGCCATGAGTTATGTCCCTTGAGCGTGTCAGGATATTGGGCTGGAAATCGGCTCGCCATGAGTTGTGCCACTTGAGCGTGTCAGGATATTGGGCTGGAAATCGGCTCGCCATGAGTTGTGCCACTTGAGCGTGTCAGGATATTGGGCTGGAAGTCGGATCGCCATGAGTTGTGACACTTGAGCGTGTCAGGATATTGGGCTAGAAGTCGGATCGCCATGTATATTTCAAAATCTGCCAGCGGCATACATGTCTTCAAGGGTTCTACGTCTACACAGTGAAGAACCGACACAGAACCACCCGGGTCGACATTACTGTAAGACTTGGCTGTATTTATATATTCATATGACTCTGGCATCCTGTCAGTGAGGGACGGCAGGCGAGTTGGTAAATGTCGGTACATGGGTCTGAATGTGTAGCCCATGTGAAGCCACATCAGGAACTGAGAGATAACGTAAGATCAATTGTGGATATAAACTCGGGAATTCAATTTTATCTGCGATGACTTATTAGTAGAGACGAAAAGTCACAGAGTGAGTGAGTGAGTTGATAGACTTCACGCTAAGACAGGCTTTAAATGGACACTCAATCACGTTTGGTGCCTGCTAACTTAAATAGTTATGGTGCCCGCCTACATCAGTATGGTGCCCGCCTACATCAATATGGTGCCCGCCTACATCAGCATGATGCCCGCTTACATCAGTATGGTGCCTGCTAACTTAAATAGTTATGGTGCCCGCCTACATCAGTATGGTGCCTGCTAACTTAAATAGTTATGATGCCCGCCTACATCAGCATCGTGCCCGCCTACATCAGTATGGTGCCTGCAAACTTAAATAGTTATGGTGCCCGCTTACATCAGTATGGTGCCCGCTTACATCAGTATGGTGCCCGCCTACATCAGTATGGTGCCTGCTAACTTAAATAGTTATGGTGCCCGCCTACATCAGTATGGTACCCGCTTACATCAGTATGGTGCCCGCCTACATCAGCATCGTGCCCGCCTACATCAGTATGATACACGCCTACATCAGTATGGTGCCCGCCTACATCAGTATGATACACGCCTACATCAGCATGGTGCCCGCCTACATCAGTATAGTGCCCGCCTACATCAGTATGATACACGTCTACATCAGTATGGTGCCCGCCTACATCAGTATGATACACGCCTACATCAGTATGGTGCCCGCATACATCAGTATGGTGCCCGCTTACATCAGTATGATGCCCGCCTACATCAGTATGGTGCCCGCCTACATCAGCATGGTGCCCGCTTACATCAGTCTGGTGCCCGCCTACATCAGTATGATGCCCGCCTACATCAGTATGGTGCCCGCTTACATCAGTATGGTGCCCGCCTACATCAGTATGGTGCCCGCCTACATCAGCATGGTGCCCGCTTACATCAGTATGGTGCCCGCTTACATCAGTATGATGCCCGCTTACATCAGTATGGTGCCCGCCTACATCAGTATGGTGCTCGCTTACATCAGTATGGTGCCCGCCTACATCAGTATAATGCTCGCCTACATCAGTATGGTGCCCGCCTACATCAGCATGGTGCCCGCTTACATCAGTATGGTGCCCGCTTACATCAGTATGATGCCCGCTTACATCAGTATGGTGCCCGCTTACATCAGTATGGTGTCCGCCTACATCAGTATGGTGCCCGCCTACATCAGTATGATGCCCGCTTACATCAGTATGGTGCCCGCCTACATCAGTATGATGCCCGCCTACATCAGTATGGTGCCCGCCTACATCAGTATGGTGCCCGCTTACATCAGTATGGTGCCCGCTTACATCAGTATGGTGCCCGCCTACATCAGTATGGTGCCCGCTTACATCAGTATGGTGCCCGCCTACATCAGTATGGTGCCCGCCTACATCAGTATGGTTCCTGCCTACATCACTATGATGCCGGCCTACATCAGTATGGTGCCCGCTTACATCAATATGGTGCCCGCCTACAACAGCATGGTGCCCGCTTACATCAGTATGATGCCCGCTTACATCAGTATGATGCCCGCCTACATCAGTATGGTGCCCGCCTACATCAGTATGATGCCCGCTTACATCAGTATGATGCCCGCTAACATCAGTGTGGTGCCCGCCTACATCAGTATGGTGCCCGCTTACATCAGCATGGTGCCCGCCTACATCAGCACGGTGCCCGCCTACATAAGTATGATACACGCCTCGTCAGTATGATGTCTACTTACATAAGTATGATGCCCGCTTACATCAGTATGGTGCCTGCCTACATCAGTATGGTGCCCGCCTACATCAGTATGGTGCCCGCTTACATCAGCATGGTGCCCGCCTACATCAGCATGGTGCCCGCCTACATCAGTATGGTGCCCGCCTACATCAGCATGGTGCCCGCCTACATCAGTATGGTGCCCGCCTACATAAGTATGATACACGCCTCGTCAGTATGATGCCTGCTTAGATCAGTATGATACCCACCTACATCATTATGGTGCCCGCTTACATCAGTATGATGCCCGCCTACATCAGTATGATGCCCGCCTACATCAGTATGGTGCCCGCCTACATCAGTATGGTGCCCGCCTACATCAGCATGGTGCCCGCCTACATCAGCATGGTGCCCGCCTACATCAGTATGATACACGCCTCGTCAGTATGATGCCCGCTTACATCAGTATGATACCCACCTACATCAGTATGGTTCCTGCCTACATAAGTATGATGCCCGCTTACATCAGTATGGTGCCCGCCTACATCAGTATGGTGCCCGCCTACATCAGTAGTCATGGTGTCTACAAATAGACCTATGGTGTCCCCAAACATAAGAGAGAACAGTGAGGTACAAGACACTATATCTGCAGTACTTCACTGCTACCTCCACCGGCGGCCCCTCCCTGCTGTGCCCCTATGATTAATCTACCCACGGGAAGTAAGCGAAGGTTTCCCATCTGGCTTATTGTTTCTGGTACACTCTATATGTTAATAAGTTCATTGTACACAGGTGAGTCTTTAAATCTCACTGCATACACATGAAATCGAAATTTCAACCTGTGATAGTCGGGGAAAGACAACCTCGTAATGCAGTAACGACATGGAACTCACTTTATATGTTGCCATAAGTTGTGCAAGTATAAAAGATGATATGTACTGAGATGGGAGTGTAAAGGTAAACTTAATGAGATGGGAATGTAAAGGTAAACTTAATGAGATGGGAGTGTAAAGGTAAACTTAATGAGATGGGAGTGTAAAGGTAAACTTGATAAGATGGGTGTGTAAATGTAAACTTAATGAGATGGGAGAGTAAAGGTAAACTTAATGAGATGGGAGTGTAAAGGTAAACTTAATGAGATGGGAGCGTAAAGGTAAACTTAATGAGATGGGAGGGTAAAGGTAAACTTAATGAGATGGGAGTGTAAAGGTAAACTTAATGAGATGGGTGTGTAAAGGTAAACTTAATGAGATGGGAGGGTAAAGGTAAACTTAATGAGATGGGTGTGTAAAGGTAAACTTAAAGAGATGGGAGAGTAAAGGTAAACTTAATGAAATGGGAGTGTAAAGGTAAACTTAATGAGATGGGAGTGTAAAGGTAAACTTAATGAGATGGGTGTGTAAAGGTAAACCTAATGAGATGGGTGTGTAAAGGTAAACTTAAAGAGATGGGAGTGTAAAGGTAAACTTAATGAGATGGGAGGGTAAAGGTAAACTTAATGAGATGGGAGTGTAAAGGTAAACTTAATGAGATGGGAGTGTAAAGGTAAACTTAATGAGATGGGAGCGTAAAGGTAAACTTAATGAGATGGGAGTGTAAAGGTAAACTTAATGAGATGGATGTGTAAAGGTAAACCTAATGAGATGGGTGTGTAAAGGTAAACTTAATGAGATGGGTGTGTAAAGGTAAACTTAATGAGATGGGTGTGTAAAGGTAAACTTAATGAGATGGGTGTGTAAAGGTAAACTTAATGAGATGGGTGTGTAAAGGTAAACTTAATGAGATGGGTGTGTAAAGGTAAACTTAATGAGATGGGAGTGTAAAGGTATACTTAATGAGATGGGAGTGTAAAGGTGAACTTAATGAGATGGGTGTGTAAAGGTAAACTTAATGAGATGGGAGCGTAAAAGTAAACTTAATGAGATGGGAGTGTAAAGGTAAACTTAATGAGATGGGAGTGTAAAGGTAAACTTAATGAGATGGGAGTGTAAAGGTAAACTTAATGAGATGGGAGGGTAAAGGTAAACTTAATGAGATGGGAGTGTAAAGGTAAACTTAATGAGATGGGTGTGTAAAGGTAAACTTAATGAGATGGGAGGGTAAAGGTAAACTTAATGAGATGGGTGTGTAAAGGTAAACTTAAAGAGATGGGAGAGTAAAGGTAAACTTAATGAAATGGGAGTGTAAAGGTAAACTTAATGAGATGGGTGTGTAAATGTAAACTTAATGAGATGGGAGTGTAAAGGTAAACTTAATGAGATGGGAGTGTAAAGGTAAACTTAATGAGATGGGAGTGTAAAGGTAAACTTAATGAGATGGGAGGGTAAAGATAAACTTAATGAGATGGGTGTGTAAAGGTAAACTTAATGAGATGGGAGTGTAAAGGTAAACTTAATGAAACGTTGGTGATCTATGCGGGTAGACTATAGTACGACCAAAAGTGCAACCACGTGGGAGCGTGGCGACACACCAACATGGAATGAACGTGCAGCATGAATTGTTAGGCTGTGATTTTCATGTGTCTGTCACCACAGATGAAAAGACATTGACAACATGCCACCACTGACAGAAGAGCAGCAAGACAGGGGTCAACACGTGACAGATCCGGTGGACCACGTGTCACAACTGTAGGACAGGTTCCTATGTATTCGTCACCTCCATGACAGACACCCCGGCCACCTCTACAGCTACAGCAACAACAGGGTGAATGACGTCAGTACAAACAGTGAGGAACCGTGTACACGCCACATTGTTCGCCCGAGACGACCAGCTGAAGGCGTCATTCTGACTGATCAGCAACGTCGGCTGCGACGTCGGTGGTGTCAAGAACGGCCACAACAGCGCTGGAGACGTGTTTTGTTTAGTGACCCGCTTCTCTGTACAGGCGGAAGACGTCGTGTTTACATGCGCCGTGGGGAACGTTATGCTGCGACCTGCAGACAGGAAGTGGACAAGTTGGGTTGCCGGAATGTAATGACAACGCCTCACCATCACACGACAAAACAACTGCTTGTTTAAGGAACCACAATCAAGTACTGTCATGGCCGTCAAGGTCTCAAGATCTTGGGATCACTACGATCACGTAATCCACAGCCACAGAACCTCCAACAGTTGGCAGAAGCACTTCAGGAAGGGTGATCATCCACAGCCACAGAACCTCCAACAGTTGGCAGAAGCACTTCAGGAAGGGTGATCATCCACAGCCACAGAACCTCCAACAGTTGGCAGAAGCACTTCAGGAAGGGTGATCATTCACAGGCCACAGTTCCTAATCTGACTGGTTCCATATAGTGACGGTGCCAGGCAGTTCTGGTCTGTCATGAGGGCCATACAAGACATTGAGAACAGATGACCTTCACCTTGAAATTCGATTGATTTATGCGCGCCATAATGAAACTCGGTCAGTGGTAATGACTTGCGCCAAATTTGAACGATATATTATGATCTATTGATTATCTATATGATCCATAAAGTATACATTTGAAAACCATTAGATTGCATATATTGTGATCTTCGGCAACCTTGTCGACTAACGGGTTCGGGTGGTCAGGCTCGCTGACTTGGTTGACACATGTCATCGTATCCCAATAGCATAGATCGATGCTCATGGTGTTGATCACTGGATTGCCTGATGCACACTCCAGTATGTACAGACGGCCGCCATATATTGCTTTGTGGGGCGTTAAATAACAACTATAGCAAACCAGAACATACATTATAATGTACACATTGTTATATTCATCATATTGTTGTAAACATTATTAGTTCCACGGTGTTTGGAATGGGTGTACGGGACTGTAAGACTATTGTAAATTCCGTATTTCCTGAGGCGCGGAAAATCCGCCTACATGGTTTCGTATGCTTTGGCTATTGACCAATCAGAATTCGACAAATTTATGTTAAGGGTAATAATACATTGTATACATCATATTTATATACATTATGTTCTATACACACATACACACACACATACACACACACACACACACACACACACACACACACACACATTATATTGGATACAATATATTTATATTAATACATTATATTGTACACTTGATATTGTATACGATATATTCTATATATTATACTGTACACACTATATAAATATACATTCTATTTATATACATTATATTGTACACATTATATTGTATACGATATATTCTATAGTTTATATCTGTGGTTGAGAGTAAACTGAGTCTGTGTGACGCCTGTACAAGTGAACATGTTGTAGGCAGCAGCATGCCCCGCGTTAGAAGGAGGATATCCGAGACGCCCACACTGAAGTTTTGCAGTTCTTGTAGCTACGTCCCTTAGTAGTGTCAGGATCCGCTCATCCTTGTTTGAAAGTTTTGTCCTCTTGACGATATCCGTGCAAGGCACTTTCACCAAAGGTTCCACGCCAAAGACCGGTACACTCTGAAATGCTGAGATATAGCGGAAATGTATTTAAACCCAACTGACTCACTCATTCTGAGACCAGAGAAAAAGGATGTCAATAAAGGTCTTCATTTCCTTTACCACAACAAGCCTGTACATCAAGGTGTTATTTTACCGATCCGTAATGCAAAGTGTCCCGACTGAAGAGGTATCAGTTATCGATGGGCCACTGTTCATTGTAAGGGATGTTGTACATCATTTGTTCTTTTGTAATAAAGATATGGGATCACGTTTTAATATCAATAACAGCGCCTTTTATCGGAGGAAGCATTGTTGGGTTTTTTCTATGTCAATGTAACGACGCCGTCAATACGCCCCTTTAGCTCTAGTCCAAACACGTGACTGGCGTGCCGCATGGTATCATCAGCTATCCATTTAAACATCTCACCACCACTGGTGGAATATTCACACCATTCGTTACGCTCAGGTGTATAGGATTCAGACCAAAGATAGATACACGATTACTAAGTTATATCGTACAGTGACACCTTGTTTGATCTCAAGTCACGGACATAAATCACAGCGACCGTCCTTAATGGTCGAAATGAAACTGACCCTGTGATTACGGCTG